TATCACTGCATAATGTCTCCTGGTTTTTATCAGCGTACAAAAGTGTTTTATGCTATTGCAATTGGTATGTATTCGTGTTTAGCTCTTTTTACTATTGTTTTGTACAAATAGTTCCATATACTTAAAATCCACTAGTTATATATTATATGTATACTAGTACTCCATTAAATATAGATCCTTCTACTAAAATTCTATTAGAAGTAATAAATGAATTCACTAAAGTTAAAGGACACAGAACTAAGATACAAAAATCTGTTGCATTTCTATACATTAATCATGAAGTAGCAGAAAAAGAAATTATGAAAACAATTCCACTTATAATTGCACCCAGGAATAAACTTAAACATAGAGGTTAAAGGCCTGTATTATAAAACTGTAAGACACTGATTAAAGAAATTGAAAATAACACAAATGAAAATATATCCCATGCTCATAGATTGGAAGAATTAATGTTGTTAAAATGTCCATACCACCGAAAACAAACTACAGATTCAATGCAATCCCTATTAAAATACCAGTAGCATTTTTCACAGAACTAGAACAAATAATACTAAAATTTGTAAGGAACCAGAAAAATCCAAATAGCTAAAGCAATTGTGAAAAAGAAGAACAAAGATGGCAGCATCATAATCCCAGATTTTGAGATATCTTACTAAGCTATAATAATCAAAATAGTATGATGTTGGCACAAAACAGACACAACAAGGGAAGAAATAGTATACAATGGGAAAAATACAGTTTCTTCAATAAATAGTGCTGGGAAAACCAGACAGCTACATGCAAAAGAATGAAACTGGATCACTTTCTTACACCATACAGAAAAATATACTCAAAATAGATTAAAGATGTAAATGTGAGACTTGAAACCATTAAAATCCTGGAAGAAAACATAGGAAACATCTCTCTGAAATCAGCCTGAGCAACATATTCATGGATTTGTCTCTTGAGGAAAAGGAAACAAAAGCATAAATAAACTATTGGGATTACACCGAAATAAAAAAAATTTTAAAAAAGAACAAAGTTTTGCATAGCAAAGGAAGCCATCAACAAAGCAAAAACACAACCTATTAGATTGGGAGAAGATATTTGCAAATGACATAACCGTGAAGTGTTACTATCCAAAATATATAACGAACTTATAAAACTCAATACTAAAAAAACTGATAATCCAATTAAAAATGGCAGAGGACCTGAATAGATATTTTTCCAAGAATATATGCAGATGGCCAAAAGACACACAAAAAGATACCTAACATCATTAATCATCAGGGAAATGCAAATTAGAAATGTATATGTATATGTCTATAATGGAATATTACTCAGTCATCAAAAAGAATGAAATCTTGCCATTTACAGTGGTATGGATGGAACTAGAGGGTATTATGCTAAGTAGAAATAAGTCAGTGAGAAAAAAAATACCATATGATTTCACTCATATGGAGTGGAATTTAAAAAACAAAACATGAACATAGGGGAAGGGAAGGAAAAATAAAATAAGAGGAAAACAGAGAAGAAGGCAAAGCATAAGAGACTCTTAGTTATAGGAAACAAACAGGGTTGCTGGAGGGTAGGTGGGTGGTGCAATGAGGTAAATTCGTGATGGGAATTAAGAAGGGCACTTGATATAATGGGCATTGTGTATTGTAAACAACTGATGAGTCACTGAAACTAGTAATACAATATATGCTAATGAAATTGAATTTATTTTTTTAAAGATTTTATTTATTTATTTGACAGAGAGAGATTGAGGTCACAAGTAGGCAGAGAGGCGGGGGGGGGGAGGGGGAGTAGGCTCCCTGCTGAGGAGGGATTCCCAGGACCCTGAGATCATGACCTGAGCCAAAGGCAGAGGCTTAACCCACTGAGCCACCCAGGAGCCCCTGAAACTGAATTTGAATTGAACATTAAAAAAATAAATTTTGAGGTTAATACTTTGCTTATGTACTGTAGACCAAAACTGATGCCTGCTTGCAGAATAACGATTATACAAAACTTTTTAAAAATTAAGAATTTTGAACTACTCCTAAGATAAAAAGATAAAAGGTGTAATTATATTAATTCACATTTTTTTTTGTTATTCAAGATGTAGAGTCAACCTAAATGTTCATAAAAAGGAGATGTTAAATCAACTACAGTAGATTATACTATGGAATATTGTGTAAAGTTTCAAAACAATGAAGTAAATTTTATGCATTGATATGAAATGAGCCCTAGGATTTATTATTAAATAAAAAGAGCAAGTTATAGAACACAGAATGGTATGTACAACATCATCTTATTTTTATTAAATACTTACACGCACCTCAAATCTGTATAGATACCTATCAAATTGACAAGACTAGTTCCCTCTGGATGGAACTGGATGGGAATCAAGAGAAACTTTTGACTGATTTGTGTTATTCACATTTAAAAAAGAAAAAGAATAAATTATTGTATTACTTGTTTGGAAAAAATTAAGAAAACAAGAAAAGCAGGTATAACAATAGCTGATAGTTTGATATTCATATTTGAAATGTACATACTATCATGAAAAATTAACATGAGAATACCAGATTGTATTTTTATAAGAAAAAAAAGAAGCTATTGTATATACGGAAAAAAAACTCAGTGTAAAAATCTATTAAATGACTGAAACTACACAGACAGGTTATTAAATTAAAAGAATTCTCTTGGGGTGCCTGGGTAGCTCAGTTGTTTAAGCATCTGCCTTTGGATCAAGTCATGATCTCGGGCTATGGAATTGAGCCCCATGTCAGGCTCCCTGTTCAACAGGGAGTCTACTTTTCCCTCTCCCTCTGCTCCTGTCCCCTACTTGTACTCTCTTTGTCAAATAAAATCTTTTTTTTAAAAAGTAGAATTCTCTCACATATATGCGTATATCTACATATATACTTTATACATATAACTAACTACATTTATACTTAACTACATTTATACTTATATAAACTTTTACATATGTACTTACAATACTACATATTTATATACTACTTAAAAGGTATACAAATTAGGGGCGCCTGGATGGCTCAGTGGGTTAAAGCCTCTGCCTTCAGCTCAGGTCATGATCCCAGAGTCCTGGGATCGAGCCCCGCATTGGGCTCTCTGCTCAGCAGGGAGCCCGCTTCCTCCTCTCTCTCTCTTTGCCTGCTTCTCTGCCTACTTATGATCTCTGTCTGATAAATAAATAAAATCTTTTTAAAAAATCTTTAAGAAATGTAGACAAATTAATCTACTTTGCAATTGCTTTTTTAAAAAACTTAATAATTTATTTTGAAAGATTTTTTTTATTTTTAATTCCAACACTTAAGGCTATGAATTCTTCAAAGGTTAAGGAATACCTTTGACTGGATAGGCCGTAACTTATGAATGGGCATCTAGATTATTTCTAGGTTTTTGGCATTTCAAAATGTTTTAATGAATATGACTGTATATATCCGTGTATATGCATATAGATTAATATAGATCACATATCATATAATAATATACATGATGTATATGTATCTAATTAATATGTAATTGAAAATATTTATCATATATACTGACATAGATAAATACATGATAGATGAATATGATACCAAATTGCTTTTCTAGATAATATACCGATTATATTTTCAGCAATAAAATAAAAAAGAAAATTCTTGTTTCCTTATGTTTTTGCCAACTTAATTATTGCTATTCTCACAAAACAAAATGGTGTCTCATTGTTTTCCCTTTCTTTTCAGTAATTATTAAGATATACTAAATGATGCTCAGTATCACTCAAATTTAAAGGATGTTTGCTTCAGTGATATGGTTCAAAAGAGCTGTGAGCATTTATACCGCAGGGATAATGAGATTGACCTAGAATAGACTTGAAATAACCAAGTAATGTTCACTTAATTTGTAATATACCGTCCAGACGTACAGTTCAAACCCTAAAATTTTCACACATGTACAAAAGGTTATTGTTCTCTATTAAGCATCTATCTCCCCAGCATATCACAATGATTTTCTAATGGCCAAATACGATGAGTATTTCTAATACTTCGATCACTTGCCTTCTCTTAGGTTTTCGGCATTATACAATAATCTTTCCTAAAGATTTTCTCTTCCTTTTGCATCTAGGACATGTGTTCTAGGTTTTCACAACTCTAATATCGTTCCAAATTTGATAGTCTTCATTTATTCATCCCCGATTTTGATCTCGGTTTAGTCTAGATACCTTCTTGTGAGGCACTGACCTGTATAATTCATTAGAAATCTCATTCAGAATGAGATTTCTGGAAACTTAACACATCCCCAATTAGCTTTTCTCTTTTTCTCCACCACCACTGGTGAGGTTTTTTACTTCCTTCTCTATGCTGTACCTATAAACAACACCACAATCAATTCAATCACTCAGGCCCTACGCCTGAACTCTCACCTCCTACAACCACCTAGTCATTTTTGTATGACTTCTCTCTTTAAAATAATATTGAAAGATATTACACTTTGTGTTTCACACCGTCCTAAATAGTCCACTATATGTTTTTTGAATGGATATATCAGTGAATAAATTGGATAGGAAGACAGTAAAGTGCAAGAAATGATAGCACATACTACCCTATGTTAATCACTAGAATAGGTTTAACGTTTTTTGTTTTTCAAAGTGGTTTTTCAGCACTTTCAGTGTCATGAAAATGGACACCAGTTGACCTTTTCTTGTACGTGCTTGCCTTTCTTCCCCCTCCCTCCCTTCATGCGCATCCTTTTTTCCTTGTTTCTTCTCTTTCTTTCTTAAATCGTGCCTTTTTTTCTATCTGGGACCCTCTCAATGCTTTTCTTCTGTCCCTGGGCCCAGGGCCCTCCCTCGCAGCACGCTGGTCAGCTCCTCTGGCCAGTGCGCCGGCTCAGCCCCGCCCACGCGGATCTCGAGTCACGAGGCTGCGGGAGGTGCGCTGAGAAGGGGGCGGGGCGAGGCCGGCGCTCCGCAGCAGGCGTGGGCGGAGCCGGGAGCGCGGGCCGCCTCTGCTATATCCGCGCCTGCGCTGGGCGGCTGCGGAGCCAGTCGGGACGGAGGAGACAAGATGGCGCTGCGGGCGATGCGGGGGATCGTGAACGGGGCCGCACCCGAGCTACCCGTGCCCACCAGTGGGCCTGTGGTGGGATCTCGGGAGCAAGCGCTGGCAGTTAGCCGGAACTACCTTTCCCAGCCTCGCCTCAGTGAGTATCAGAGTAAAAGACGAATCCTGTCTTGCTCTTTAGCTCAGCCTCTTGCTTCCATTCACCTGCTTAGCGGGGGAGGGGGGATTTATTTTTCCTTTCTCATCCTACCTGTTCTGACTCATTAGTCTGTCTCAAGAAGGAGATTTGAGTGTACCTGATATTTTCGTAATATAGGTGGGCGGAGGACAGGAGCATCGACGAGAACTTTTTCCTGGGGTTGGTGGGCTCCTGGCTATTGACCCGCCCTCTCCAATTTCCTTGACTGGAGCACCCTCGGGCTCTTGTTTCTTGTCTCTAAAGAAAGGCAGCTTCTTGTCACTTCAATCTTAATCATCCCCTGACCTTAGCTGGATGTGTAGGGAACGCCCCTTCCCATCTCCTCCCACCAGTGTAGATCTTCAGGGCTGGTCAGGAGTTCTTCCGAGGGAGACTAAGTGCCATCGCTGACGTGGTCTGGCCCTTCGTTGATGAAGGTCAGGCCCGCAGCCAGAGGGAGATGTTCTGTGGAGGGGCTGCTCCACAGGAGGACACATTGGTGTCAGAGATGCTACAGCCGAAAAGTACCCTCTAAGTCATTTAGTCTAACCCTGTCATTTTACAGTAGGAAGCCTAAGGTTCTGGGAGGGACAGGACTTGCCAGATTTTAAACAATTATTGGCAGAACAGAAACTAAAATTCTGTTTCTTTTTTTTTTTTTTTTTTTTTTTAAGTAGGCTCCACGCCCAGCATGGAGCCGAACACTGAGTTTGAACTCAGGACTCTGAGATCAAGAGTCACCTGCTCAACTGACTTGAGCCAGCAGGCGCCTCTGAAATTCCTTTTAATTCTCGTTGGTCCTCCTTTTTATTTTATTTTATTTATTTATTTTTTAAACCATTGCCTCTTCATTTACTGACAAGTTAAACCTAACACAATTAAGTGCAAGGCTATCTTGGGGAAGCCAAGCAGCTTTGGCCATATTATATAGTATTTTTTAAATATTTTATTTATTTATTTGACAGATCACAAGTAGGCAGAAAGCTAGGCAGAGAAGGGGCAGGGATGCAGGCTCCCTGCTGAGCAGAGAGCTGGATGCTGGGCTCATCCCAGGACCCGACATCATGACCTGAGCCTAAGGCAGAGGCTTAACCCACTGAGCCACCCAGGCACCCCCATATTTATAGAGTATGTGCAGAATATATCATATGCGTGTTTAAGTGCTGTGATTATTTAAAAAACAAACAAACCTGCCTTAATAAATGCGGTTTTAAGTGGACTACCCAGTAGTTCCAAAAGAATTGTTTTTTTATTACTAATCAGTACAGTTGTGCAGCAGCAGAGCTCTTCACAGCTTTCCTTCAGAATTTGGGATGAGCCTTAGAAATAGACTCTTTTTAAAACTTGGGAAGCTGATGTTTCCCCCAGGTGGTGAGACTATGTTTGCACTGGTTAGTTGCCAGGATGCTCGTCTGTGGGTGGCTCATTGGTTAAAAAGAATTTCAGATGAAGTGTTTCAGTCTAGCCGCCCTCCAGTCTGACTAATCCTATCCTGATCTGTCACTAGGTCATATGACAGCACTGCAGTATGAGGAAGAAGAAAAACAGTTGATTCCATGGTTTGCTGAGATGTGCTTTTTACAGTGGGGATTAATCTGAATTATCTGAGAATGCTTACTGGAGGTTTATATAAGCTGAAGTGAATGTTTCAAGAAATTAACTGATGTTGCATTCTATAGATTCTGACAATAAATTTATAACTAATAATTCATATTCTTTTATGAACTGCATTTGCATGCTTTACTTTTCTTTGGGTAGACAGATATTTGTGCTGCTTCTAGGAAAAGATTATAGGGGTACAATAGTCAGTTTCCATATAATTATTCATTCTGTGTCAGTTCAAAGGGTATCAACAGAAATAATAAAATTGTTTCAAGAGTACTCCATGATTGTTAAACCTTAAGGGAGATGAGTATGGTTTTTCAGTATTCTTTTTGTGTTTAGCCAGTGGCCAAAGAATTCCAGATGAGGGGCGCCCGGGGGGCTCAGTGGGTTGGAGCTTCTGCCTTTGGCTCAGTCATGATCTCGGAGACCTGGGATGGAGCCCCGCATTGCATTGGGCTCTCTGCTCAGTGGGGAGCCGGCTTCCTCCTCTCTCTCTGCCTGCCTCTCTGCCTGCTTGTGATCTCTGTCAAATAAATAAATAAAATCTTAAAAAAAAAAAAAAAACAACAACAACGCAGAATTCCAGATGAGATTTCTCCTGACAAAATTGTTACAATATAATGGTTAAAACTGAACCTCAGGAACCCTTTTTTGTATCCTCAGTGCCTATCACAGTACTTGACACATAGAAGGTGTCTTGTAATTGTTTTATAACTTGCATTTAAACCTTGTTCTAATAGTTTAGTAGATTCTCAGTGTGGCTGGAATCAGAGTAGGGAATTGGGACACTTGGTTGAGTTGTTTTTCTGTATCTGGGTTATTCTGAATAGCATAAATGATTCCATACTTAGGCTAACAGCTAACTACATTTGAATATCATCCTTTTCTTAAATTGCCACATTCTTTATTCTAGCCCAACAGTTTTAATTGCTTCTGAATAAATACTGATTAACCTCTTAATTTTTCTAAAGATTGATTATACCGTCTTAGGTGGTATATTAATGTAGTTACTTAATGTGTGCTTTTGAATGAAGGAATGGGACTAATAATATTGGCAATACCACTGTACAAATTGGATCCTGTTTTAAAACAACTTCACGATATTGGATCTATTAACAAGAAATGGGAAATGAGATGCACAGCCTTAGAATAATCTTGAGCACTTTAGTTGAGTCTCTAAATTCACAATGAAAGAAAACTTAATTATTTAAACTTTGAGCAAAGTTCAGTAATACATACTGAACTTTTAGATACTGAACATTTTGAATTAGATAATCTCCATTGTTCTTGAGACCTTAGATCAGAACTAACCTTGTCCCTTATTTCATAAAGCAGAGGTAGCCTCAATGAAAAAGTCAAGTAAAGGAATCATAGGTCTACTTTTTCTAGAACCTCTCCCTTTTTGTCCATCTGTCAGGGTGTGGGTCTCTACTGTTCTTGCACAATAGGAGATGATTGCCCGGAGTTTTTGTTTTGCTAATAAGGTAGAGACTAGAGTACTGGATCTCTTGTGCAATGACTGTCCAATTTTCTCGTTGAAAATTTCACAATCATTAAGTGGCCTTACTAGTGTTGAACAATCTTATATCCTGCAGGAGGAAGAGGATGTCATCTTACAGAACATATGCTTCTACAAAAACCTTTGTAGATTTTGGTTTTGAAATATTACTCCATAAATATTTATTGCCTGCTTGATAGTTCAGAATCAAAGATGTAACTTTTTGGTCTTAGAATGTGCTCACCATGTAATGTAACTTGTGTCAGTGTTGTCAGAAATTCTGAATATCACCTGCAGACTTAACTACTTATTCATTTGGAAATTTTCATAAGAAGAGTGTTCGTTAGTTTGGTAAACAGAAATGTTTATATAACTTGTGAAAAGGTTTTGACTTTTTTAGAAGAGCAGCTATAATATCTTTGGCAGCTTTACTTGAAACTGTTCTCTCTGCTTTGGGCCGTTAATAGTGAGGAAGTCTGGATAAATACTGTTTAGAGTTAAATAGAGTTTGATATCTTTTTTTCTGCTTGTATTTTTTAAAACATTTTATTATTATGGAAAAGAGCTACAGTTGCTATATAAACTGTCTTCTAGTACCTGTTTGTAATCCAAATGTTAGGAACTGTGTCATCTATATTTTTTAATTATATTGGAGACTAAGTTCAGAAATACTATAAAGTCAGAATGCCAACCTTAGAATTGGGGTGGGGGGTGGGGGAAGCCAAACAAAAAAACAAAACAAAACAAAACAAAACAAAAAAAACACCTCCCTTTTAGTAACAAATTTCTCAGAGCCTTAGTTTCTTTAAACGTAGAGTGGGTATATAAGCCTTGCCTACCTCCCAGCATTTTGTGAGCCTGAAATGAGGTAACCTATCTGAAGACATTCTGTGTAAGTACAAAGCACTCTCCAGATGTAGTTTGGTGCTATTTCTGTTTGGGTTTGGGTTATTGTTAGTGTTCAATTTGTATATGTCAGTTTAATTTAAATCATGCATGCTCCTGGGGCACCTGGGTGACTCAGTGGGGTAGGCCTCTGCCTTCGGCTCAGATCATGATCCCAGGGTCCTGGGATCGAGCCCCACATCAGGACCTCTGCTCAGCGGGGAATCTGCTTCCCTCTCTCGCTGTCTGCCTCTCTGCCTACTTGTGATCTCTGTCTGTCAAATAAGTAAGTTTAATAAAAAAAAAATCATCCATGTTCCTTAAGCTCTGATTTGTATCTGAAGTAGTTTCCTTGCTTTTTGTGTGTGTGTGTGTTTTGTAGTGAGGGGAAACTGCTGAAGTAAGCATCTTATTAGATTGTCCCTTTTCTGCTCAAAAGCTCCTCCAGTGGCTATACTCCCATTAGAGAAAGATTGTTCAGCAGTAGTGACAAAATGTAGACACAAGAAAAATACTGTCCAGTGCATTAAATAGTAAAAATAGCTTACTTTTTCATAGCTAAGTTGCAGCCTCCTGAAATTATTCTGAGATAGTATAGCTACGTAAGTCTTGCAAATAATTACAAGAGTGTACCAGACCACAAAAAAACAACCAGTTTGTTTTGGAATTTGAGCTGCAGTACAGAGTTAAAAGAACAAGTGACTTTGGAGCCAGACTGTAAGTTCAGATCCTTGGACAATTTACTTGAGTTCTGAGTGTCATTTTTCTCTTCTATAACTTGGTAGATCTTTTACGGAGATTGAGAATTCCTGACATGTACTTATTAAATTATATTGGTGGTGTAGGTATTAATCAGTTAATTTGAATAGTTATTTGTAGGCTTTTTATATGAAAAGGCTATATACATTGTTGCAAATTTAGAGACTGCTTTTTGATGAAGTAGAATCTTAATAGAAGTCAGCTTGATTCACTGTTTCCAGCAAAAACAGTGAGTAGTGTTTCTTTTTCTCCATCATGCTTATGCTTGTGACTGGCAAAACTTCCTAATTTTAAATGAGCTTGAATTTAAACATGAGATTCTGAAGCATGTTTGTTGTAGAGGTTAAAGTTAAAGGAGGTGAAATCATGGTGGAAAAAATTTTCAGAACCTGAAGGATTTTGTTGGTTACATTTTATTCAAAACAGTTGCTTCTAAATCTCAAAACTGGATCCTCCCCCCAACCCCACCAGCCCACACTCTACTCCTATCCCTGTTTTAAGTAAAGGTTTTGAGCTACTATTCCTATATTTTTAAAAATTGGTTTCTAAGAAAAACATGTTTCAAATGTAGCTCCCTCTGCATTTCTATGTAGCAGTTTTAGAAAGTCATTAAAAAATTGAATGTTTGAACACTAAAAATGAGAACAATAAATTCTTTAGGGGTAGAAATTATTTTTAAGAGTATTAGTTTATTTTCATACAGTGGGGAAGATTTTCATAAAAAATAAGTGTGATGGCTGAGGTTTTTCTGTAATGTAAAGGGAACAAATGATTAATTGTTTTACATTACCATCCATTCAGGTAACTTAAGTTTTTTAATTTGTGACTTGCGTCTTATTATCTGAGGTTAAAAAAGTCATTTGGGAGCCTCTTATGAGATTATTACAATTGTAGATATTCAGGCAAATATAGTATCAGGTTTAAATGTCCTATGAGTATGAATGAAAAGTAAGTGCCCCAGTAGTGCTTTCCTGCTTTCGGCATTTGTACCAGGGTACTGGCTTCCTGTTTTTAAGTTCTCAAGCCCCTTGAGTGGACAGACTAGATAATATTAAATGGTTTCCTCACTCTTGGAAGTCTACATCTGTGCCAGAAATTACTGTCCCAAGACCTCAGAAGAAATCAAGCAAGTAAAAAATTCTCAGTCAGTGGGCAGTTTCTCACAACGTATTCAATGCCTTGTAGTAAGTTTTCTTCATTTTTTTTTCAATTGTTCTGATCAATCCATTTAGTTAATTCTGACATAGTTAGAATGACTGTCTCCTGAATGTTCTGTTTTATACTAATTCCCAATACATTTGACATGTTTGTAGGTGTGGTAGGGTTGCAGGACAGCTACCTCCTTTCTAAAATGAAGGATTTGAGTCATGCCCTATAGACTAGTAGTTTAATCCTAGAAAATAACTTGCAGTAGAAAATAGAAGCCTCTAAACTGACAGTAACATTTGACTTTTTTTTGCTTGTTTGTTTAAGGATCACATTTGACCTCTGGCCTTTCATTCCATTAGCCGTTCCCCTCTTCCTAAAGCTCTTTTCCCTGTAGTTTTTATGACATCATTTAATTATGGTTTTTACCTCACAGATGACATTTTCTCAGATTTCCTTTGTGAGTTTTGTCACTTGTGCTTAAAGTTGTTGAGACTTTCCTTTATCTACTTTGCTAAGTGCCTCCTCTTCTTTAAAGCATTTCCTTTTCTAGGTAAGAACTCCTTACCTAGGTGTTTCCTCTGCTCCCACAAACCCTCTATACACCTCTGTTAGAGCCCTTAATTCTTCCCCCTTCTCCATATAAAACTGGGAACTCTTGAAAGAACTCTGCTCCTCTGTGCCTTCTTTGTTTTTGTATTCTGGGTCCTTAAAGTGACTTACAGTAAGAATGCAAAATGGTTTTGGTTGGATGAAGGTGGATTATGAAAAGTTGTACAGGCACAGGTATATTTTATAAATTCAATTAAAAAAATTTCTGTTTGAGTGCTTCATATTATAATAAGTGCCATAGCAAGAGGAGCTTTTTGATAATTGCAGAGGTAATTGTGGGTTGTTGTCCTGTCTGACTGACTAAAGCTGATTCTTTTCTTTCTAGCATACAAGACAGTATCAGGAGTCAATGGTCCACTAGTGATCTTAGATCATGTTAAGGTAATACCACTGTGATAATCATTTAACCATTTATGTAAAAACATGGTCCTGTTCAGTACACTTTAAATTTTATGTTGTGATTTTTTAACCCACTTTTTGGTCTGAATATCAGTGCTACATAGGAGATGAGTTTTTAAATCAAAAGTCAGAAGACTGGATTCCATTGGTGGATCTAATATGGATTCTGTTAAGCTACATCATCTGCAGAATTCTTTTTTTTTGGGGGGGGGGAGTCAATCCTACCTCATAGGTTTACTGAGGAAAAATAATAATATATGAGTGTGTGTGTTTTATAACCTATAGGTTATTGTATAGCTCTGGTAGCTTCTGGTTCTTGTCATAGACTGCCATGTGTTATAACTATTTGTTAATAGTCTTTGTCCTTTTTTTGCTAAATTTTAAGATCTTTGAGTGAATAAACAAAGTTAACTTTTATCTTTGAGGGCCTGATACTGGTATTCAGGTAGCAAACAAGAATAGATTATCTCAACAGTGATTAAAGCCCTAAAGCAAAGAATAGTTTTTACTTAGTTTGTTGTAAGGATGTGGAGTTATATCTTTTTTTTTTTTTTGCCACACCTGTACATAAGAATTATAAACACTAAGACTGTTATCATAGAAAAAGTGACGTAGAATATAGACCATAATTGAATACCCTACAGAAAGCCTCCCACCTGAGCTTTATGATCAAAATATCTTCAGAGAAAATAATTGATATAATATGCTCTCTAGAACAGTAATTATGTACTGGTTGATGTTGGGGTAGTTTGGGCGAAAGGCACACAATTATTGTTTGTTGAGAAAAGTAATGATGGAAATATGTTTGGCATGTGACCTCTCTAGAAGCAGAAAAGAAATTGAAAAACATTTCATAAAAGAAAGGGCAAAATGCATTGTTTCTTCAGTTTTATCACTAAGATTATATTTTTATGCATGACAAGGTATCTATACAAATTAACCTCAGGAATAAACATAACAAATTTACCTCTGGGCCACACACTCATACCTAGTAGTCTGCAATTTGATTCAAAGTCTCAATATCGTGTACTCAATTTGCACAAAGTTTAGGTTAGTACCCATTAATGTTTTGTGAAAGAGTGGAGCCTGCACTTTTATCTTTGAGGAAAAGATAGGAAGGTTGTTTTTTTTTTTCTATAGTCCTTATTAGATAACATTTTTGGCTTACATTTTAAAAACATGAAACCTTTTTGTTAGTAAATGTTACTGAAAACAAAAATATTTGCCTTTCTTTCTTTTTTCTTTTAAGATTTTATTTATTTGAGAGAGAAGAGGGAGAGAGAGCATGAGAGCATGAACAGAGGGAGGGGCACTGGAAGAGGGACAAGCAGAGCCCAACACATGGCTCAGTTCCAGGACCCTGAGATCATGACCTAAGCTGAAGTCAGTGTTTAGCTGACTTGAGCCCCTAGGTGCCCCCAAAATATTCAGGTTTCAATTATGTTAAACACTGAGCTCAGAACAGAAGATATGATGGTGAACAATGAGTCCTCCCCCAGTGGAGCATCATGTAGGGGAGAAGCAAATATAATGCAGATAAACATACCTAATTAGTAAGTGCTATGAAGGTTAAGTGTGGGGTGCTATGAGAGTAAGGAGAAAGACTTGAGAAGACATCTTTGAGGAAGTAACTTTAAGAGTGTTCAAAAAGTTTCATTGAATGTTTGCTTGGGGTAGAGCGCCAGCTGAGGAAAAACTGGTAAATAAATGATAGGTAGGTGTAGGAATGGTTTTATAACCCCAGATTTATAGTGGCTTTTTAATTTAAAGTGTCAAGGAACAGATAATCTTACACAAATTTTGTCAGAATAGAGATGGAGACTGCTACTCAAGTCATGTTATGAAATTGGCTTTTTTTTTTCCAGATTTTATTTATTTATTTGTCAGAAAGAGACAGGACAAGCAGGGAAAGTGGCAGGCAGAGGAAGAAGTGGGCTCCCTGCTGAGCAAGGAGCCTGATGTGGGACTCGATCCCAGGACCTTGGGATCATGACCTGAGCCGGAGGCAGACACTTAACCAACCAAAGCACCCAGGCATCCCTGAAATTGGCATATTTTTAATTTCCAAACCAGACAAAGGGTAATACTAGAAAAGAAGAAAGATAATTATCCTCATTTAAAAGCACAGATTCCAAAATTCTTAATAAAAATATACTCATATATTGGAAATTAGCAAAAATAATTATGTAAAAAAATAATAGAATTATGACAAAGTAGAATTTATCCCAGTAATACAAAGATGATTTGATGTGGGGTGCCTGGATGGCTCAGTGGGTTAAAGCCTCTGCCATCGGCTCAGGTCATGATCCCAGAGTCCTGGGATCGAGCCCCACACCGGGCTCTCTGCTCTGCAGGGAGCCTGCTTCCTCCTCTTTCTCTCTGCCTGCCTCTCTGCCTATTTGTGATCTCTGTTTGTCAAATAAATAAATAAAATCTTAAAAAAAAAAAAAGGATGATTTGATGTTAAGAAATATATCAGTAACTTAGCTTTAGTCAGCTCATTCATGGATTAAACTAGAAAGAGCTTATGGCCTTCTCGATAAATAAATAGGATCTGATAAAGTTATTCATTTCCATTAAAAAAAAAAAAGCAAGAAAGAAAAGGTCTCTTGGAAATAAAGAGTAGAACAAACTTTTAACCTCTTAAAAGATATCCACCATAACCTATAGGAAACAACATACTTAAGAGATCCTGGTAAAATTCTCATTTAAATCAGAAACAAGATGAGGATGCCTGGTTGTTCCCACACTATCCATCTTTGTACTTAGAACTTAACCAGTGCTGCGGAGGAAAAAAGAAATAAGGGTATAAAGCTCTTAGGAGGGAAACCTAACCAGTGCTGCAGGGGGGAAAAAAGAAATAAGGACATAAAGCTATTAGAAGGGAAAAGTCACAGCAGTCATCATTTCTTGGTGATACAATTAACTAAACTAAGTCATTCAGTGGGCAAACTATTAGAAACAATGATGTAACACAGTTGCTGGATATAAGAATCAGTCTACAGAAATCAGGAGTGTTGTATATTCCAGAATTCATTATTTACAGAAAACCATAAAACTTTGTTGGAAGACTTAAAATAAAGGGAGATTCCATGTTTGTGAATGAAAGGACTCAGAGTAAATATATTGATTCCACCCAGGGAACAGAATCCGTTAGAGATAAAGTAATTAAGATTAAAGACTGGGCGCAGGCATAAGCAGTTGTATCAGTGGAGCAAAATTAAGCACTCTGAAACCAGTTCTTAACACGCTGGGTATTTGACTTGGGTCAATGATAAAAGCATCATTACAGGTCAATAGGGAACATGTTGTGCTGCTTAGTAAATATTATTGGGGTAATTGGTTTTCTATATGAAAAAGAATGAAAATGAGAAAAGTAAAATTGCATACCACAGACAAAGCCAGTTGAATTAAAGGCCTAAACCTGAAGAACCTTTTAGAAGACAAAATCAAAAGCCATTTGTATAAATTTAAATTAAAAGGTTTTCCTAAACAAGATACAAAAGGCACAAATCATAAAAGAGGACAAGTCGTTTTAGTACTTAAAAAGTTTTGAAACTTCTGTATGATAAGATAAAAAATAAAGGGCAAGATAACAGAGTGGAAGTCTCTGTTTATGAAAGGGTTGATGTCCAGAATCTGTAAAGCTCCCTCACATTAAAGAAAAAGCAGATCCATTTAAAAAGTGGAAGAAATATAGGGAATATAAAGAAGAGATATAACCCAGTAATAGGTAATAAAGTCTGAATTGTTAGTGAACATGAAAAGCTGTTTAATACTGGGAAAATACAAGTTGAAAAGATGCTAATTTTTTCTTTATCAAAATGGCAAAAATTAAAGTTCAGTAATGTAAGATTGACATAGTTGTAGGAAATGATGATTTTGTATACTGCTAGGGAGATTGTAAATTAATACAGTTCCTTTTCAGAGTAACTTGAAAATTTACGGAATGGGCACAGCCTGTATGTAGCCCACCACTTGGTTACCTTAAGGAAAACACACTTGGCCTGAGGGAGCTGCATGGAAGAATGCTCTTGTAGCATGTTTGTAATAGTGTAAATTTGGAATAGCCTTGAACTCCATTGACACATAAAATGTGTCATTTTAACTACATTTGTTTTATTTTAACATTGATTCTGAGATGCCCATTTATTCATGTTACCATCTCCATAATCAAGAATTTTAAAATCAGGGGTGCACCATATTTTAATTGAGAGATATTTTCCTTCACATCACTCAAAGTAGTGATGTGCTTTTCAATAGATTATGTTGATAAAATGAGGTAAATATTACCAAAATGGATCTAAAACATAAGGTCAAGTGAAGAAAATGAAAAGTTGCAGGATAATATATTTAGTATGTTGTCATTTATGTAAAATAACTAAATCTATTTTTGGAAACTGCATTTTCAATTATTAAAAGTGAAAGAGGAATATGTATTTGGTTAGGAGAATTTGAGAACACATTTATCTTATTATAATAGTGATTATTGTATTTTTAATTGGCATTTATCCCCGTCCCCACAAAGCATACAGGTGAGTACACACACAGCCCAGAAGCAAACATCAGTTCTGAGTGATGGGAATGTGGTTATTGTAAGTTTTGCGCCTTTATTTAGTCTCAAAGTTTAAAACCTGTACACAGGAGAAAAAACTAATTGCTGCTGTTTTATGGATTTAAGACCTTTCTCTCTACCTTATGCTGTGTTTACCAAATTATATGTGCCAGTGTAAGTGTTTTAAGGTTGTAAACTACCTGAGGATGTTACAAACTCTCAGTATATACCTGTGTGGTTTAGAGAGGTGGGGAGATTTTACCTGTATACATGCTTTGATAGAGATAGAGCATATAGAGTAATTTGGGGAGCTTTTAAATATTGGTTATTGACCCTTTATTTTATCTGGTATAGTTTCCCAGATATGCTGAGATTGTCCACTTGACATTACCAGATGGCACAAAGAGAAGTGGGCAAGTTCTAGAAGTTAGTGGTTCCAAAGCAGTGGTTCAGGTAAGCATCACTTTCCAAATCTGGCCAGTTGAACAAAAACATAAGGAATACCTCTTGCCTTTTCTAGAGATCATTGAGTAAGTCTATTTTTAGAGATTATTACTGACTGTGGGAAGAAAAAATTATTTTTTCTTGTTGTCTTGCCAATTGATAGCCACCTATGTCTATCCTAGTCCAGTAGCTCCACTGCCATTGGTAAACTTTTTTTTTTTTTTTTAAACAAAGCAGATAATCACATGGAAGAAGAGAGATGAAAGGCAAAATTTATAACTTACGGGATAAAACCAAAACAGTATCTGAGCCTGTTTTTTTAAATCATCTCTTATAATACCTAGTTTTTAATGTTACCAATTGTGGGAAATGCCAGTTTTCTCAAATTACATGTTCCCCTAAAAAGTAATCTAGAGCAAGGGTCAGCAAGATTTCTGAAAGGGCTAGATAATAAATTTTTTAGGCTTTATGGGACCACCTAAGGTCTCTAATGCATATTCTTCCTTTCTTTACCTTCCTTTCTTTTTTTCTTAAACCCTTTAAAAATGTAAAAAAACATTCTTAGCTTGATGGAGTTGTACTAGAGTCATGATCCTTGGTGTAGAGGTTGGCAGTTTGGTTCATCACCGTGGACTTTTCTTTGTTATATTGAAAATAGTTTGTATGTATGTATTTTACTTTATATGGGCTGTTGAACAGACAGAAATAATACTTAAGTACTTAACAATCTAAATTCCTTTTGCCCTTCTGATTACTTCTCTTTCTCACTAGGTATTTGAAGGGACATCGGGTATAGATGCCAAGAAAACATCCTGTGAGTTTACTGGGGATATTCTCCGAACACCCGTGTCCGAGGATATGCTTGGTAAATGGATGTTGTTATGTATTCTGAGCAGAGATCTGTTTTCTTTTAAACATATTTCCATGGAGTCTTTCTTAAAAATTACCTATTTGAGTCATGGTCCACTCTGTACTGTCTTGCTACTGTTTCACAGGTCGGGTCTTTAATGGATCAGGCAAACCCATCGACAGAGGTCCTGTTGTACTGGCTGAAGACTTTCTTGACATCATGGGTAAGATAATAAATGGGTTTCTGTGTTTTGAAGAAAATAGCCTCTGTTTTATATCTTTGTCAAATAGAGAGTGATTTTTGTGACAGTTTAAGTAGATAACCAATGTGGTCCCTATTAATTGCTTTATTTAATAAATTTATGTTTTTTAGAAATCATCTTAAAATTTTATGTAAAATATTTTAAGGTATTACAAAATGTCACAATGGCATATCTGAAATGAACATTGCTTTGAAATATAAATGGCTTCTAAATTAGGATTTTTTTTCTTATTTACTGTACCTTTTTTTCTTTAGGAACTTGTTCTGCTACTATATAGTTTGTGAGTCTACAAGAGACTAATGGGAAGATTTCTTAAATAGTTTCAGATTTTAAAAAGTAGCTGATTTTTTTTAAGAGAGGAAAGAAATGGCTTATATGTTTTAGTCTTAATGTCTTAAAATTTTCTCTTTTGGAAATATATTAGGCCAGCCAATCAATCCTCAGTGTCGAATCTATCCAGAGGAGATGATTCAGACTGGCATTTCGGCCATAGATGGCATGAACAGTATTGCTCGGGGGCAGAAAATTCCTATCTTCTCTGCTGCTGGCTTACCACACAATGAGGTGAGAGCTAGGATCTGTTTGGTGTGAAATTTAACAAGGGAGAATTTCTAAATGCTTCACGGTTAATAAAAGCCAGATAAAAGGTTTTTAACAATACTCACTTGTACCCAATACCCATTTCAGCAATTTTCAATGTTACCGTTTATATAATCCAGCTACATTGAAGCTTAAGCTATGCCTGATGTCTGTGTTCTTGCTTACTCTTACAAATCTTTACAAAAAGTACGAAGTAGCTTTTTTGGGTAAATCCTTTAGAACATAATTTCATTCATTATAATTGCAATTCCAAAAAGTTTAGAATAAAAGTTACTTGTTGTAGAAGTGTTATTTTAAATTTCAACTTAGTTCTCTTGTACTTCTCATCAGATTGCAGCACAAATCTGTCGCCAGGCTGGTTTGGTAAAGAAATCCAAAGATGTAGTGGACTACAGTGAGGAAAATTTTGCAATTGTATTTGCTGCTATGGGTGTAAGTATAATTTTTTTCTGTTTTGGTATGACATTATAAGATTATTTATTTTATTAGAACAATGTAGAAAACCACACATACATCATTAGACTTATTTCTAGGGAGAGAAGTTGGAACTTGGCATTTTGGATAAACCTTGGATTAAAATTTAACATTTGATTGCAATTTTTTTTTAATTTTTATTATTTTTTTTTAATTTCTTTTCAGTGTTCCAGAATTCATTGTTTATGCACCACACCCAGTGCTCCATGCAATATGTGCCCTCCCATAATAGCCACCACCAGGCTCACTCAGCCTCCCACCATTCCTCCAAAACCCTCAGATTGTTTTTCAGAATCCACAGTCTCTCATGGTTCATCTTCCCCTCCAATTTCCCCCAACTCCCTTCTCCTCTCCCATCTCCCCATGTTTTCTGTGTTATTTCTTATGCTCCACAAATAAGTGAAACCATATGATAATTGACTCTCTCTGCTTGACTTATTTCACTCGGCATAATCTCTTCCAGTCCCGTCCATGTTGCTGCAAGAGTTGGGTATTCATCCTTTCTGATGGAGGCATAATACTCCATAGTGTATATGGACCACATCTTCCTTATCCATTCGTCCGTTGAAGGGCGTTTTGGTTCTTTCCACAGTTTGGCGACCGTGGCCGTTGCTGCTATAAACATTGGGGTACAGATGGCCCTTCTTTTCACTACATCTGTATCGTTGGGGTAAATACCCAGTAGTACAATTGCAGGTTGACTGCAAAATTTAAGAGTAATTTTCTTTACGCCCAAAGCGGTTTGTTTACTCTGTTGGCTTTTGTGAAATTTTGTGGGTACTTGAAACTTCAAAAGAGGGAACAGTGTAGATCCATAGATTAGCCTTCATCAGAAATACTGAGAATTTTTCTTCTCCTAGCACTGATGAAGTCATTGCTATTTAGGTAAACATGGAAACTGCCCGGTTCTTCAAATCTGACTTTGAAGAAAATGGCTCAATGGACAATGTCTGCCTCTTTTTGAACTTGGCTAATGACCCAACGTGAGTAAATAGAGCTGTTTCTTTCTGTTCACGGAGGCTTCAGATCAAAAATGTTACCTAAGACAAGGGAAGTGAAATATGACAATGAAAAGAACATGGGGCTAGGAGTGGGAGAGCTGTGGTTAATTAAATTCAGCTCTATTTCTTGGTTACTTGGCTTTGGCCAAATCACATAGGCTCTGAATTTCAGTTTTCTCTTTGAGGAAATATAAGTAATACTTGTCTCATACTGTTGTTGTGCATTTTAAGTGAGATAATACATGTAAATTACCTGGGACCCAGACCATACTTAATGATCTTTTCCTCTTACCTGAGAAATCTAGGCACTCCCCTGTTTCTTCCCTCCCTCCTTGTTTCTCTCTCAATTTTGAGAGGAATATAGTTCTGAGAAATTATGGGTCCATTTCTAAAATAGATAATCTAACTTTGTAGCATTAAGTAATTCTTATTATGAAAAAAAATGACTACTTATTCTAAAGTAATAATTGCTTTTATATTTTTTAAATTAAATTTATTTAGTTACTTAAAACTTAAATAAATTTTCTCAGTTTATTTAAAACTTTTGAAGGGGGACTCTAATTTCCAGCATCATGTTGTTTTGTCTTTATTTTTATATATTTATATAAAATATATTTTAATATAAAATATAAATATAAAATATATTTATATAAAATATATTTATATATTTTAATTTATATATTTATGTTTTTGCCTTTTTATTGGAGTAACAAAGGACTTAATATTCCATTTCAGTATTGAGCGAATTATCACTCCTCGCTTGGCTCTTACTACAGCCGAATTTCTGGCCTATCAGTGTGAGAAACATGTATTGGTTATCCTAACAGATATGAGTTCTTATGCTGAAGCCCTTCGAGAGGTAACTTTTTTTTCAAAATGGGTTACTTTTCAGTTATCTTGTCTCTTTACAAGTTTTCATTTTTCTTTAATCGTGTTTTTTTAAGCTTCATCTCTCACGTATTAGTAGAATACCTTAATTAATCGAAAAGGAAAACACAACTTTTTTCTGTCTCCCACGATGTTTGGTCCAGATTGTCAATTTTTAACCGTTTTCAGAATTTCATTTTTAATAATATTAATATTTAAATATATGAAGAGCATACTCTTGACACCACCCTTTTTAGAACTTTTTCCTTCAGAAAACATGGTGTTTATTTAGGAACAGTGTTAAGGTTCTAACAGGTATCACCCAGAAGTTTGGGGTGTTCATTCTAATACAAGTTATTGAAATTTTGAGTAAGTTACTCTTTTAAACATGTAAAAGGGGATAAAAAAGTTTCTGAAGAGACATGCTATATAAATATCTGGCTTCTTAAAAGTCCCTGAGATCCATCACCGTATCTCACTCTGCTGCAGTGGTTTTTCAGGGAAGCATTTTTCTTTCCGTCTGTCACAGACCAGTAATTTTCTAAAGTACAATTAAAATGAGTTATTAGAAAATATTTTAAAGACGATACATAACTTACAACCCTGGGATTTCTTTTTTTTTTTTTCTTTTTTTTTCATTAGATCCAACGAACATAAAATTACATCCTCAGATCGCCATTAGAGTTTTTAAATGCTTATCCTACTTTCTGTATTATCTCATTATCCATTAATAAAAGCTGGTCTGCAGACCACACTTTGAATAACACTGCTATAGGATATTCTTTTGGAGGTGCCAGAGTAGCACCTAAAAGTTGGGCTCAGTGCTTTAGGGTTCTTGGTGGTTATTGATTAATATACACAGCTATATTACAATGTGCATGTCTCCAAGAGAAAGACTATTTATTCTTATTTTGTGCAATGAATGGGCTCCTGGCTCTGTGATCTTGGGAAATTATTTAACTGACCCTTGATCCTAACTATAAATTGGGGTTAACAACAATCCTCATAGGATTGTTGTGAGGATTAAATTAAATATGTAAACTGCATCAAATGATTCCTGGGATGTATTTCCTCCCCTTTTGACCTTTTTAACATTAGCTTACATAAATATTGCAAGATCCATGGCATGATATAGATCTTGTGAACTAAAAATGTTCTCTTAGTTTTAAAATAACTTCCTTTGATTTATAAAATTCCAAGCAGATTTTTTTTTTTCTAGCAAGCTAATTAAAGATTTGCATTATGGTGAGAAGATTGTAGCAAAACACTTTCGGTCCCCAATTGTCAACCTCTTTGTTGCAGAATAATCTGAAGTTTTGTTGCTAGATTTTTAAATCATCTTCCAGAGACAGTATTTAAAAGTGAAAGATGATACTTCCAACTTTGCAATTGGGTATGTTCAAGCTAATGTGTTCTAAGCTTTACTTTTCATATTCAGGTATGTGACATTCTCCTTCTTGACTTACCGTCAGGTTTCAGCAGCCAGGGAAGAGGTGCCTGGTCGGCGAGGTTTCCCAGGTTACATGTATACAGATTTAGCCACGATATATGAACGCGCTGGTCGAGTAGAAGGTAGAAATGGCTCAATTACTCAAATCCCTATTCTCACTATGCCTAATGATGGTAAGTTTTTGGTCTTTGGATTATAGGAGACATAAACATTTTAAGGACTTGATTCTGAGAACATCTACCTTTTTGAATTGAAATTTTTTTTTCCAAGTTTTTACTTAAATTCCAGCATATAAAATACACTGTAATATTAGTTTCAGGTGCAGAATTTAGTGATTTATCACTTACATACAATACCTGGTGCTCATCACAAGTGCCCTCCTTCATCACCATCACCTGTTTTCCCATCCCCCAACCCACCTTCTCTCCAGCAGCCCTCAGTTTCTTCTCTATAACTAAGAATCTTTTTTGGGGGGCACCTGGGTGGCTCAGTGGGTTGAGCCTCTGCCTTCGGCTCAGGTCATGATCTCGGGGTCCTGGGATCGAGTCCCACATCGGGCTCTCTGCTCTGCAGGGAGCCTGCTTCCTCCTCTCTCTCTCTGCTTGCCTCTCTGCCCACTTGTGATCTCTGTCAAATAAATAAAATCTTTAGGAAAAAAAGGAGTCTGTTTCTTGGTTGGCCTTTTCCCCCATGTTCATTTGTTTTAGAGCTGAAATTCTTTTGAGGGTTTATCCTTTAAGAGTTTACCTTAACTAGGTGATTTGTATCTAAATGAAATTTTTCATTTGTAAACTGCCTATAGTAATCATCCTTTTGTAGAAGAAGAAAAACAATTTCCTTTGTAATTAGAATTTTCAGTTTTCATTTGTTAGGTTACTATTGAGTATCTACTATTTGTGGGACACTGATCTAGATATAAGGAAATTCTTTTTTATTTAATTCATTCTCTAATGTAAGTTACTTGATCTTTTGGATTGATTTGGGTGTTTTTTATATACATGCACCAATTAGTTACAGTAGCTTAAGTGTCAGATGAAGAGCACAAATAGTAAATGCCACAAGACTTCAGGACAGAGTGATCACCAGAGGCCCGTTAAAAGAGGACTCCGTTTTACTTGACACACAGTGCAGTACCTGTTTGAGTTTATGCTCAGGAGTGAAACAAGTCAGTAGTCTTCTTCTCTGACTGCTTTTTTGTTCTTGTCTCAGTGTATAAAAAGCAATTTTTGCAAGGTATTTTCAGAGTAATAACTCACTATAATTGAGTGCTGTTTTTAATACTTTATAAATATTACCTCATTTGATCCTCATAGCAGCTTTGAAGTGAATGCTCTACTCTGAGGCACAGGGAGGTAAAGTAATCTATTGAGGTTAAGAAGTGATAGTTTTAGAACCCAGGCAGTCTGAATTCATAATTCATACTGTACTGTCTCTGACTTGAAAGTGATTATTCCAGAAAAGTACCTGTAAGATTATTTTATGTAATTCAACTAACTTAGAAACGTCTTGCTTTGTAGAACTTTCTTGGTGCTGCCCGCATAATGGTGTTTTGCTTATCTAACATTCCTGTACTTCCCATGTTGAAATGGTTTATATCCATCTGGATAGCTTATAAACTAAGAATGTTTTCTCAGTATATGTTAAATTGGCAAACCTCTGCCAGGGAATTTTTGTAGTTTTATTTATGTTTTGGGGGGAAATAACTAGGAGACAATGGTACTTTTCCTAAATGCAGCTAATTTACTTTATGTGCCAATAGATATCTAACCATGCTGCAACTCAGTAACTAAAACCATCCAATATGATAGTCACAAGCTACATTTGGCTGTTTAAATTCCAGAGTTCATTAAAATTAGATAAAATTTGAAATTAAGTTTTTCACTTCCAGTAGCCACATTTCAAATACTCAGTAGCGACATTTGGCTGGTGGCTACCAGCACAGATACAGAACTTTTCTGTCATCACAAAAAATGACTTTAAAGAGCACTGTTTTATATAATGCTGTATGTAACACACACTGGCTTCCTGTGATTCGTTTATATGATATGGATCCTTTAACTCAGATGTCTTCCTCTGGTAGATATCACTCACCCCATCCCTGACTTGACTGGATATATTACAGAGGGGCAGATCTACGTGGACAGACAGCTGCACAATAGACAGGTATTTGACATTTAAGCAATGCTGCAAAGCTTAGAAATCTACTCTTCAGTTACTCTTTAGTGATTAGTGACTTTGACTTTGCTTTTAGGAATTATTTTGTTAGAAAATATCAAGTTATTTTCCATATGGTTATATAGTTGTTATTTTTGTATACCAAGATCCTATTGTGGGTAAGAGTGCCAGTATTAAGATTTAAGTATCCACTTTTCTTTTTTGTGCCTTAAAATGGAGCCAGTGGTCTCAAAGAATTTTGGGGGTATTCTATTCTATAATTACCAATCTTATTATTAGTACAGAAATAATGTTTTTTCTATTTTTTTCTTTACTGATATATAATTAATAGTACATTATATTGGCTTTAAGTACAAAGTAATGATTTTACACTGATATATATTGCAAAGTGGTCACCATTAAATCCAGTTAACATCCATCAATACACATAATTATGAAATACTTTTTCCTTATGATAACTTTTAAATCCAGTCACCTAGCCACTTTCAAATATGCAGTACAGTATTGTACATACTCTAGTCACAATGCTCTGGATTATATCTTTATGACTTAATTCATTTTGTAACTGGAGGTTTGTACATTTTGACCCCCTTCACCCATTTCACCCAGCCCCCATCTCTGGCAGCCACCAGTCTACTCTATCCATAAGCTCATGTTTTTTTTTTTTGTTTGTTTTTTTAGGTTCGACATAGAAGTGAGATCATAATAGTATTTATCTGTTTCTGTCTGATTTATGTCACTTAGCATAATCCCCTCAGGGCCCATCCATCTTGTTAAATGACAAGATACTGTTTCTTAATGACTGAATAATCAAAAAAAGATTGATGGTTCTATAACAGATTCCAGCTTCTAATATCAGTGTTTAGGTGAAATTACTGTTAATCTTTTTATTTGGTATGTGATTATATGAGTCAGAGCTCAGAGGCTATTTAGATTTGATACTGTCAGCAAATGTTGAAAATCTAGTTTTTCAGTATCACCTTGTACTGGTTTTTGTAGACTTCACTTTGAGTTCGATTCTCAAAAGAAATGCCATAAAGTCTCACTTCATTTTCTAACTAGGAGAAGATACTAGAACTCCTCTAGGAGATAAATAGAAGTTTTATGTAATTTAAGGGATAATAATGAGTTTCAAAATGCTTCTTTACTACTGATAAATCTTGAATTTTATATTTAAATGTATTTTTTCTCTCATGTTCTATTCAAGATTTACCCACCTATTAATGTGCTGCCCTCATTATCGCGGTTAATGAAGTCTGCCATTGGAGAAGGTATGACCAGAAAGGATCATGCTGATGTATCTAACCAGCTGGTATGTATATCCTCTTGAGGAGATGAACACCTTTCTTAGTCCATTCTTTCTACTGTCTTACACCTCTTATCTTTCTCCCATATCACTGTACTTATCCCTCATACAAGTAGAATTTTAGTATAAGTTACATGTGGAAGATACAATCATTAGAACCAAACAGTCTTCCTTTTTTTCAAAGGATAGTTGTGGATACTCAAGATTAAAATCCTTTGCTTGAAACCCACATCTAATGCTATACAAGATAATTTCTAAATTAAAAACAAGCCATAAGGCCATTTTAGGTTTTTATTAATAACCATAATAATAAGTACAGAATATTACTAAAAAGATACTCTAATTTCTTATTTAAGAAATTAAACAATCATCAGAACACTAAGAGATACAGCTTTATTTATTCTATGGAATCTTTGGTTTCTGTAGTTACTGTTTTTTATTTGACAGAGAGAGCCAGAGAGCATGAGCAGCAGGGTAGAAAGGGAAAGGGAAAAGCAGGCTCCCCAATGAGCAGGGAGCCCGATGTGGGGCTCAATGTAGGGCTTGGTCCCAGGACCTTGGGATCATGACCTGAGCCTAAGGCAGGTACTTAACCGACTGAGCCACCCAGGTGCCCCATAATCCTTGGTTTCTGTAGTAGTATGAGATTGTACACCAAGCGCAAAGAAAGAAAAATACCTTTGACCTTAAAGTAATAATGGTAAACCTACTCATACCACAAATACTTTCCTTGAACTTTGAGATGGATTTCTCTGTGGTATGATATCTGACTTTCAAATGCTCTTTAAAATGTAAGCTCATTGACATACTGAGGAAGTGTATTTTTTAGAGTGTTAGTAGCGTCTGTGGACTGCATACCTGAAGACTTCTTTCTCAATGAGACTACTTTATAAAATCTGGTACTTTCATGTGAACTTTATGTGAAATGTGTTTGTAAATGTGAAATTCCTTCTGTGGTCTCTTACAAAGACATCTACAGAAATACTCTTAATTTATAGCCCTGATTACTTTTAACATTTATAAAATCTTACCTGTGTTTTTTTAAATATTTTTTTCTCTTTAGTATGCATGTTATGCTATCGGTAAGGATGTACAAGCCATGAAAGCCGTTGTTGGAGAAGAAGCGCTAACCTCAGATGATCTTCTTTACTTGGAATTTCTGCAGAAGTTTGAGAGGAACTTCATTGCTCAGGGTAAGAGGACTATTTTCTTGCAAACATAAGCTCATGTATAGTTTTGAAGACTTCTTTCCCACTCTGAGAGAATTTGCATTCATCTCCAGATGATTTTCCTTCTAATTAGAGAAGAGGTTTTTCCAACTGCCTGTCATGTCTTTGCACTTAACCCTCTGGCTCCTTCCTCTCTGCCTTCAAGTCCATTATCCATTCAGCTCCTATCTGAACTTTTCCGGTCCTTACACCTGGCATTTTGCTCTGCTGCCTCCATTGCTGGTTCTTCTTCCTCACCCCTCTGAAATGATCTCCTCATGCTTTGGTAGTGTGGTGCTTTTGTGATTCACTTATTGTCATCTCCTTTTCTGATTTTGTATCTTCCTGTTCCTACATTGATTATGTTTTCAAAGGCCTAGCTCCCTGTTCTTTCTGTGCTTCCCCTTCCTCCCCCAGCTTTGACTTTTTCCCTCTACTGTTGACTAAATTGCTATGTATGATCCTTATCCTCTTCCTGAAGCTCTAATCCCACATTGCCAACTAGAATACTTTTGCTTATGCTGCCATCTCCTCAGGCTCAGCATGGTCAGAACCCAAAGTTTTTTTTTAAGCTGACTACCTGCCTAGCAGTTTGCTTTTCAATTTGTCTACCTCTTGTATGAGTGTTGTCCTACTTAGCCCAAGCTCAATAATTGGGCATTATTCATAACTTTATTCATTTATTTGCCGGTAACCAAATATTTACTAATTTTTGTTCTTATTTAAAATAATCCTCTTCTGGTTTCATTTCCATTAGTGTACCTTAGTCCAGTGTTTCTCAAATTTTAATATGCTTTTGAATCAATTGGAGATCTTGTTAAATTGCAGATTTTGATTCAGTAGAACTGGATGGGGCCAGAGATTCTTCATCTGGACAAGTTCTTGGATAATGTGGAAAGCTACTGATCTGTTACCAACTTTGAATCTTAAGGCCTAGTCCAAACCCTTGTCTCATCATCTTGGTCATTAGTGCCAGCTTTTTCTCCACTTTTCCTGACTCTGTATATCCCTCTAATATTTGCCGGAATAAACTTATTACTAATTATATTGATTGTGTCTCTAGTAAAAAGGCAGTAATGGTTTTCATTACATAGCACATGTACAATTTTCAGGCTCTTTTGATTGGTCTCTCCCTTGCCACTATTTTTGACCTCAGTGGTACTCAACACAGATGTGTTAACTTTGGAATAATGCATCATGCTCACTATACTCTTATATGTATTTGATGCATTTCTTGTTAACATTAAGCCCAAAAAGATATGTATATTTTTTTTTAGTGCAGCACCACGATACCTTAAAAAGATAAAAAATGAAGATTTTCTGGTAGAGAAAAGAAACCAGAATTCCAGCCACTCTGATTCCATAGTTAAGAAATCAAATTTATTTGCAGGATAAGAATGACTCTACTACTAAAAATAATTAGTAACCACTTTGAAAACAACTGGCCTATTCAAGGTGTTCAGTTGACCTTTAAGGTTTTGTAAGTGTCTGTACTGCCCTCCCTCACATTCATCCTTTCTTCCTGGAAAAGTGCCTTTCTCAGTAATCCATAGACAAAACACTGGGTCTAGTTTCCATTGCTCCAGGTATTTAGATCCTACCCAGTTGTCGACATGGTTGTCCCACACACACTAGATTGCCCACTGCCTCTAGCCTACAGGCCTCTCCCTTTTCTCTGATTCCTAATGGTACTTACTCTCTGTACCCCCACATATATTTGGTTGTATCTGGCGTTAAGAGACCTAACTGCTTTGTCTTTTTTGTTGTTGTTGTTTTTGTTAATACTTGATGCTCACAGTAGTCCTATATAGTGGAATAAATAATAACACTGGTAAGTTGTAAGTAGTTTGCCTTTATTCATTAAATTTCAATTTTTTCTAAGGTCCTTATGAAAACCGCACTGTCTATGAGACTTTGGACATTGGCTGGCAACTGCTCCGAATCTTCCCCAAAGAGATGCTGAAGAGGATCCCTCAGAGTACCCTGAGTGAATTTTACCCTCGAGACTCCGCAAAGCATTAGCTGCTACTGCATTGCTGGCTTGATACACTTGTGAAATACTGGTTCTGTTTTCTTTATTCCTTTTGCACTCCCCCAGTCCCCCATCTTTGTGTTGGAGTTTACGTTGTTACCCTGTAATTAAAAACAAAGAATAGGTAACATACTGTGCCAGTGTTGCAATGTTTTGAACTTCTAACAGACTTTAAAATATCCCCTGTTCAGAAAACCTGGATCATCAGTGCTGTTTTTAAAATAGCTACAGAGATGGAGGTTTAGTTTTCCTACAGGTGTGTGTATTTGTACATAGTGGTGTAGTTAGTTGCCTAATAATGTCTTCATTATATGGGTCTCCTTGACCTTACCTCTCAGCCCCCTCCAGAGTATCACTGTCTGAAGTTATAATGCTTTGATCTCCAATTTAGAGCCAGGATCAGGTCTAAAAGAAGCCTCCTCTCTGAAGAGCCCAGGGCCTCTTCCCTGAGCATTTGTTTTTGGATTGTTGCTGTGCCCATAGGTCTGTGTTGCTGCTCTAAGCAGACGGTTTTTACTGTCCACCTGCTCTTTCCTATTTAATGCCTAGATTAGAGAAGGAGTTTCGTTTTTCTCTTTAGTCATTATGAATCGGGATTCCTGTGTCTTACTGTTCTCCCTCCCTCTGAGTAACATAGAATCCTGCAGCTTTGCACAGCTGGCATTGATCTGATAGTAGTGAGATGCCTTGTCTTAATGATCCTTACTGGGTTTCCCTACAGAGAAATCATAATTAAAATAACTAATAGAACTGTTGCTTGGAAAGAGTGGGGGTACAATAAAAGAAAGAAAAACCCATATCCATTCTACATTCTGACATGCTAACAGTGGTTTAAGTTTCTCAAGTGTTTACCAGATGCTGAGGGCAAGGTGGAGAGGAGAAAGTTCTTCTGTGTATGGATATTTTAAACTCTGTTAGAGAGCAGCCTTTGGAAGATCCCCTATTTAATCCTGTTTTCTGACCCATCTCTGCCTTTTCAGGGTAACCTTGTGGCACAAGTGATAGCATTTAAAAGCTTTTGCCTTTTAATTCTCGCTCCTTCTTGCTGTGAGTTCTGAGCTGACTTCTCTGCACTTCTGCCATGTCTACTGTTTGGTCTCTTTGTGTTCTTTGTTACTTGGTGCAATAGCAACTTCTCTGTGCATTCCATCTTTCCAGTTATGTAAAGTTCTTCCCTTTTTTCTCTGAGGGTATAGGGGGTGGGGGGAGTCAGCATGATTATATTTTAATGTAGAAAATGTGACATCTGGATATAAAATGAAAATAAATGTTAAATTAAATGAAGTTACCTAAAGTGACTCTGTATCTTCTAATCAGAAAAGCAATATCAACAGATGGATATATAATATATAATAATGCACCTCTTTGATTTATAAGTTTTGAACATCATAACCAGTGTTGTGAGCCAGCCCCCTGTGTTATAGGGACATGGCCCAATTTTTATATCCTTCTGTGTTCAGGCTGCCCTTTCTACCCTTTCTACCCTTTCAGGTGCTTTCCACAGTAATAGATCTTCCAACAAATACTATATTTTGATCCAAGCTTAAGAGTTACTACAGGTGTTGCATTCTTTGTTTCAGACCTATCAGAGTGAGTGATAGAGGATGGATAAATAGAAAATGAAATACATATTGAAGCCTTGCTTCAAATAAAATCTTAAATAGATGTCCAGAATATAAAGAAAACATGCTGGTTAAGGACCAGGGTGTGTGGCATCAGGGACCTTCCATTTCTCTCCCCTCTTCAATTTTAGGAGATGTAGACTTAATCAGACAAGAACTAGGTAGACCTGTGTTCTAGTTCTGGTTCTGCCAGTAACTGTAGGACCCTGTTTCGTTTTTTAACAAATTTGAGTCTGTTTGCCTAGATTCCTTTTAAGGTTACTAGAAGTACCGGAGATTCTATGTATGAGACAGTGTCTAGTACTAGTACTCCCAACAGGACAGTGCCTGATCCAGGGTAGGCACTCACAATAGGCTTTTATTAATAAACTTTTATTAAGGTAGATTTGACTTATTATATAATTCTTAGCAATAGTTGACTTAGTAGCACTCTTGTTACTTATTTTTTAGTGGAAACATTTTCTTAATACAACTTTTTGTCCCAGCAATAAGACCTAATTAAAGGACCAGTTAAAATGAGGTCTTTAACATGGACTCCCACTGTGATTACGTCATTTTAAAAAGGGAATGTTTCCGTCAGCTTAAAATACCTGGGAAGAGAAAAGGTATCTTCAAAAGGCCAGCCTAACTAAATGACTCATTAAACATTTATTGCTTGCAATTGACTGTTACTTCGGTTTGTGAGATTTCATGTAAGTGAAAAAATGTTCTCAGACTAATAAATTCCTCACCAAACTGTTTTATTTTCAGATGTTTGAGGTCAACAAAGTATTGTGTGCTTTTAAGATTTTCTGATCATTAACACTAGTAAGGGAAAGTTAGCTTAATCTATAAACAACAGAAAATAGTCTCCAGACCAAACTAAATATACCATTTGTAGATTATAAGAAAAACTTGGCAAGGGAATCCTTGAGGGAAAATTATCCCTTGTAGAAAACTTAAGTACAAAGAAATGGGGTTTTTTGTTTTGTTTTTTTTTTAAAGATTTTATCCATTTATTTGATGGACAGAGACCACAAGTAGGCAGAGAGGCAGGCAGAGAGAGAGAGAGAGAGGAGGAAGCAGGCTCCCCGCTGAACAGAGAGCCCAATGTGAGGCTAGATCCCAGGACCCTGGGATCCTGACCTGAGCTGAAGGCAGAGGCTTTAACCCACTGAGACACCCAGGCACCCCAGAAATGGGTTTTAAAAATGAAAGTTATGTGCCTTACTCAGCTACCAACTGTAGTTTTATTCCAAACCCTTTACCAACTTGGGGTTGAAACCTGCCTAGTGCTTAAGTGAGCAGGTGACTTTGATGTTTAGGAACAGTGAGAAATCACTTTCAGTGACTAATCAGTCCCAGAGCTTTGTATCCTCAGCAAGAGTGGCAAAACCTGCCTGGGAAACTTCGTAAATGTTTTCAGACACCTGAACAACCTATCAGTCTGCCTGTCCCTGATCAGTCTGCTACAGTTCCTGAGGAAGGGAAAAGAAGTTTCTGCCTGTGGCTATATCTGAGGTTGAAGACACAAATGAGCAACACTTCCAGTTGTCTGGTTCCCTTCGTTAGAAGCCTGGGGATCCCCTAGTCTAGAACAGAACATCCAGCCATTTGCTCTGATGAGCAGCTGTAAGTAGTGCACATCTATTTGACCACTTCCCAAAAGGATTATATCTCCAAAATCAAAAAGCTTTTTTATAGGGGCACCTGGGTGGCTCAGTAGGTTAAGCCCCTGCCTTCAGCTCAGGTCATGATCTCAGGATCCTGGGATCGAGCCCCACGTCGGGCTCTCTGCTCAGCAGGGTACCTGCTTCTCCCTTCTCTCTGCCTGCCTCTCTGTCTACTTGTGATCTCTCTCTCTGTCAAATAAATAAATAAAAATAAAAGTTAAAAAAAAAAAAGCTTTTTATAAATGTAACAGATCTGCGACTTATTCAAGTTAAAATAAGGAAGGGCAGAACATGAGCTAGAATCTGGGCCTTTAAAGTTAATCTAGTGCTCTTTCCATAGTGTGGTGTTAAAGTTCACTTCATAAACTGAAATGGCGTCCCCAGATTGTGTCTACTCTGGAAACCAAGAGTTTATATTGTGACTAGAGTTCCAGTATTCTATGGGTCATAAGGGTGTGTGGTGAATGTGAACAAAAGGCCCTGAGGGGCCGGGTTCTGGAATTTCAGGGCTTACACCAAAAAGTTAAGCTTTTTTGAGGAGAAGTAAGACCAGGCTCTATGTGTGGGCTATAACCTCAAGTGCGTCTTGATTACTTTTGAGCGTCCTATTCTTCATGTCCACAAGAGGGTAGCAGCTCTTCACAGCCCTGTACTGGCTCAACACCGCTCCAGACACTTCAGCGGCAGCAACAGGCCAGTCAATGATTCATTGAATCACATGGTGTTTTTTGGACTACACATTAACCTGGGGGCTATGAGGGACCCATGCTGTAATAAAAATAAACCAAAATCGGTGCCAAGAGCCCAGGACTGGACTCAGAAGTTCTGGGTTAGAAGGATTTCGGAGGTCCAACTTTCCTGATAGTTGAAGGCCCTTTTAAACATCAGAAGCATGGAAACCTGGTTCTGGTTTACATGGAACTGTTTCAAGAGGCAGTCTGTTTCAGGAATTAACCTCTCTGATGGTTGGGGTGTTCCCAAGTCAAGGTAAAATGCTCTAGAACTTTACCTTTTTGAAAATTTTTTTTAACCTTGGCCTGTCCCCCAGGGCTCTTCCATGTGATAACCCTACATGACTTTGAAGATAGTTGACACTTCTAATTCTTCTTCTAATTTTCCTAGTTTCCTTACTTTATGGGTGATGGAATTGTTTACCTCTTTAGTAACTGAATAGGATTAGGAACCATATCTAACCTCCTAGAACAGGAATCTTTGTACTTCTGTTATTAGCATGAAGGAGAAGTTCTCCAAAACATAGAGGCTCAGCCCATGAGAATCAAGTACCCTCCCAAGCATATAGCTGGAACCAAAATCATGGAAACACTGTACATGGTCTTTGGGATCAACTCCCATTGAGGCAAGTACTCTGATTCAAGCTGAGGTTACTGGAAATCTCAATGTGCTCTGAGGTAAGACATTCTGTTCTCTGGTTCTATTGTACTTTCCCCTAGGATCTGCTTATTCAGTAGCTCTCAGGTGGAACTCAAGCACTAGGGAAGTTTCATTAATGCTTTACCTAATAGATACTCACTGTACAAGTAAGATTCAAAAAGTACAGATAAGGACAAAGAAATAAAAATCCCATAATCCTACCACTCAGAGAAACAGCACTGTCATAAAGAATACCCTGACAATCATGGCTTTGCCAACTGTGGCTTTGCCCACTTAATCTCGTTAAGCCAAAACCCATGGCAATTATGGCTTCTTTCTCCCATAGACTATATCAGATTATGGGAATCACGTCAACAGGAGGTGTGGTTAAGCTACAAACTCTTAATACAGAACAGCTATATGTTTTAATCTGAGTACTATCAGAGTTAACACAGCTTGTAACAACAATAATTTCAGATAAAGCTCTTTT